ATCTATCTATCTATCTATCTATCTATCTATCTATCTATATATCTATCTATCTATCTATCTATCTATATTCTTCCGCCAGCGTTGACTTTCACATTGTAAGGATACAACAAATTTTGATACTACCGAGAACTCACAGAAACCTCTCACAATCAAGATATTCACGCACGTGCACCCGATGTACACTAACACCCTTCATCAATGAGCGGCTGTAAGCAACGTTTCCCAGCACTTTGGCCAAACGTTGTTTTAAAACTACAATCGAACCTGTTCAAGACGATTAACCATTGTGAGGGAGAGAATTGGTCATCTTAGACAGATGGTCCTCTAGGATAGTGTCATTGTAACCCAAAAAAGAAGCACAAGGGAGAAAAGGGAAGTGGCCGTGTTTTGAGGTGATTGTCTTGGACTCGTGGTCGTTAGAACAGATTCGACTGCACCTAAATTTGTCTCACCGTAAGATGACTTGGGTTTCCTTTTTTAAAGTATATTTAGTTGTGCGTGACCTGAAAACTTCACGCACGTGCTGGGCCGTACAACTTCCGGGTACCGAAGTCAAAACAGTCAAACGCATTACACTTTGCCCGTTCCGTTTGGTTAACCTTCCCCTGAAATTCCCGCCCATTGATTCCCGCCCAGGTCGAGAAATATGCTTGGAACTCAAACAACAATTACTCAGAAGACGGCTGGAAATGGCCGTGTGCGTTGCAGATCTGGTAATAATGTAACTGGGGATAATAGCGCGGATGGGATAATGTGTTGTCTGACTCCTCCCCCCACCCCCCACCCCAAAAAAGGGGGGGGGGCGGGAAACGTACGTCAGATGAACCCTTTGACATGGCATGTTTCTAGGGATGTGAAACTGGATATGACCCGACACCGGTTTGGGGGATGTTATGCCATATTTAATTCTTTATGATGATCCGGTTTTATCTTCCCTTAGCCATTTTAGAAGACAGCTTTCCTATTTCCGATAGCTTCCTAAACCATTAAAAATCCCATTTTCGCTGCCCCCTTCCTCCCCCCTCCCCACCTTTTTACACACTCAGCTTTCTTTTCATTTTTGCAGCATTCGTCTCCTCTTCCTGTTCATTTTATTTTCATTCACATTTATTTTTTTTGCAGAGACGCGAGGCAGGTGGGGGGGAGGTAGGTGGAGGTGCGTAATATATACACTCACGCACTCTCTCTCTAACGCTCTATGCGTTGTACAGAGAAGCGTTTTGGTGCATTCGACATATTGTTACATATGCTCTGTTAGCAAAAACTCATGGTAGGCTCATCCATCATGTGTAGACGCAAACGCGCACACACACCACACAC